CTACTAGCCTACTACTACTAGCCTACTACTACTACTACTACTACTACTACTACTACTACTACTACTACTACTACTACTACTACTACTACTACTACTACTACTACTACTACTACTACTACTACTACTACTACTACTACTACTACTACTACTACTACTACTAAGACTACTACTTGGCGAGGAGCGGCCACTGGGTCTTCATCGACTTAATGTGGGCCGGACGTGCATGGTTGTCTTCGCTTTGGCTTCCGGTTGTTGTTGATTCAGGTCCTGCAGTCGACAGAGATCCAGAATGGAGAGGCCGGAGCGTGCTCGGCATGTGCCATTCAGTCATCTCTGATTCCTTTAATGCGAGGCTTCGGTGCCGCCAGCTCTGGCGATGATCCCCGCAGAGGTGTGGCTCCTGCTTATTGACTTATTTAGATGTGTGGGTATTCGTCGCGACATCCAGGCCATGCTGGATCCACGTCTGGGTGTCCCTGAAAAGGCCGACCCGCGACTTGTGCAGTATATTAAATTTTAATTTAATATATAATTATATATATATATATATATATATATATTATAATATATATATATATAATAAATTAATTAATATATATATAATATATATATATATATATATATATATATATATGTTAGAAATATAAAGGGCACTGCCATTGTATGGCCGATCCTGCCTGCTTGGAGGCTATGGTGGAGCCTTCTCCGGATGCACCTGCACAGGTCTGCGATTTATTGTGCAGTATATATATATATATATATATATTATATATATATATATATATATATATATTATATGGGCACTGTCATTCGTGCATGGTCATTCCCGTGTCGAGGCGATGGTGGTGCCTTCCACGAATGTCCATGCACAGGCCTGCGACTTGCGAATTGTTGGACACTCTATATAGCTGTGATTTGTGCATGGCCCTTACCCGGAGCCAGGTTGTGCCTCCTTCGGCGAATGTCAGTGCACAGGTGCTGCTGGGCACTCACACATGCAGTAATTCTGCCGGGTGTTCCCGATGTGAGGCGATGGTGGCTCCGCCTTCGACGGATCTCGCCGCAGAGGTGGGGCTGCATGCTTCCGATTGATCTTAACTGCCGCTGTAGACCTGCATGCATGGGACTGCACATTCAATCAAGCGATACCTTGCTGTGCTGCAGACATTAGCTGTTCTGACGAGCCCCGCTTTCCTGGAAAGTGGATGCATCACGACTAGGTCAGACTAGGTAGTGGCTCCAAGGCTCCGACAGGCTGCCAGGCTCCAACATGTCAAAGCTCAGTCTAACATGTCATATAATAGTAGGCTCCCAGGCTGCCAGGCTGCAACATGTCAAAGCTCAGTCTAACATGTATTATAGGCTCATAGGCTCCCAGGCTCCCAGGCTTTAGGGATCAACATGGGGCCCAAGCCCAAGAAAATGCCTCGTGACCGCTCTGCTTCCCGCACCCCGCGCCGGTCAGCGGTCAAAGCCAGTGCCAAGCCAGCCAGTGCCAAGCCAGCCAGTGCCAAGCCGCACCCGACCCTGTCCTCTGATGACTCCGACGAAGACCTCCTTCGATCCACTGATGAGGAGACCGGTGGGCCGCCGGGCACTGGCAGTGGCACCAGCGCTCCGAGGGGACCACCACCTCCAACGCCTGTTGTCTCTCGCGGACCACCCCCTCCAACGCCTGGTTGCTCTCGCAGACCCGCCACAGATTCTGAAGGACCACATGGACCGCCGGCACCGACACCTGCCACTGCATTTTTTGTAGGACCCGGTGGAAGTGGACATAGCGGAGGTGTGACTCACAGCTTCACTGCCCCGGTAACCCCGGTACAGGCGTTCCAACTGGCCTCCAGGGCGATCACGGCATCCTCTCCTCCGACGACCTCGACTTCCTCTGGTGGGTCCCTGGTCATCAGTCTTCCGCACAACTTGGAGTACCCAGTCGAAGTCACCATCCGATCAGACCCTAGGGAGAGGGCCGCCGTGTCTACTGAATCTAGCGGGTGATTCGATGTACAGCATTGCAGTGGCCGTGCAAACATGAGGCAAAGACTGTCAGTGATCTGTTGATTCGTCAGTCAGTCAGTGCTTGCAAGCTTGGGGACTCACAGTGCAACCGCTCAGATCTGTCAGATGCCCGGAGTCACAAACATGGGACCTATGCATTCAGGCTCCCAGGCATCGAGGCTCCCTAGGCTGCAATTAGCCATGGAGCCGACGACCGCAAATACTGTGAACATGGCGGTGTGGCGACTGGGGAGGCGAGCAATGCATAGGAGGGCCCAGAGAATCCCTTCCCCTGTAGTGATTTTTGATTCGGCGGTTAGGCTGGAGTGTTCGATCCTGCGGTTTGTTAGTGCCCTCCGCCTGAAAGGCCCTTGCCGCCGGGCCCCAGCCTAGAGGATAGGGAGAAGCTCACCTTCGACGTGAGAATGGCGGCCTGGAAGGCTGGATTCAAATATGGAAGGGCCATCCAGCAGAAGCACCTCGACGAGGCTCAGGCTTCGACTTGTCGCTCCACTCCATACGACTCTGACTCTGACGCACCGCTGCTGAAGATGACTGCAGGAGAGTGGAACTGCCTGGCCGTGGTCCTCGATCAGACGTTCGAGTTGGGGCTTGGGAAAGATGAAGCAGTGAGGCGATTCGGGGTCGGCCAAGCAGTGAGGGTATTCGGGCCTCGTGCAATTCTCCCGGACTACCCTTCGAGGAGCAGGTTGGCGATTGAAGCCCGTGGCCGTGTGCCTGCCGGTTTGTTTTCATATTCTGATGGAGTTTCTTGGCATATTCAACAGTAACATTTAAGTTAAAAAAAATAATCATTTTGACTAACTTTTCGTATGCCAGCCTAAGGTGCCCGAGAGGAAGCACAACCCTGTGCCCAAGGCCAAGCAGAAGCCGGAGGTGGTAAGGGCAGCCGGCAGTGAGGTCTCAGGCGATCGTGGCACTTCTCGCCCGGAGTCAAAGGCTCCCAAGGCTCCCAGGCTCCCAGGCTTGGAGCTGTGAGCTGGTGATTTTTTAGTTTACTTTGTCCGCTCCCTGGCACGACTGTCGCTGTGTGGGCCATTGAAACCTTAGCTTGTACAGTAGCCGACGATGACAATACCGACTGGCTGCACGGGAATCAAATTTCGGGAGGTAGCCGATGCAGCTCGATTTGCTAGCGCGTCTTTGTCAAGACTTGTTGATGTTTTCTCTGACCAGGACAGCGGACGATTCTCGGCTAGCAGGCTCCTCCAAACCCGCGCCGAGGCGAGCCGGTGAGTCTCATGCATTTGAGTCGTACTTAGACCATTATTCTCGCCAGGTCCTCCTGCAGTGGGACGGGCGCCTGCGTACAGGCTGGCCAACTGCGGTCATAATGGCTTGACGGGTGATGCATCGACCCTTGAATTGCAACCTGATGACCCTTGAATGCGCTGATTCTCCGAGGTGCATTGAAGGGTCTGTTCGATGCATTGAAGGGTTGCTTCGTGGGTGCCCAACATCCCGCATGCCTACAAAGACCCTTGGATGCAACCTTGTGACCCTTGAACGCGCTGATTCTCAATAAAGGTGCATTGAAGGGTCTTTGGGATGCATTGAAGGGTTGTATCGTTGGCGCCCAACATCCCGCATCCCTACTACAAAGACCCTTGGATGCAACCTTGTCACCCTTGAACGCGCTGATTCTCAAAAAAGGTGCATTGAAGGGTCTTGTTGATGCATTGAAGGGTTGCTTCGTGGGTACCCAACATTCCGCTTAAAAAGACCCTTGGATGCAATTGGTCTATTGAAACTTCTGCTGAAGTTAAAGGGTCTTTGTACTGACAATGGCAAGGAAGTGGTGTTGCTGCAGTTGGCGCCCGAAATCTCGACATCCGTCTGGCCAGCCTGACTTGATTGAGTGCAGGGTCTGGTACATGGCGGTCATAATGGCTTGACAGTCAGCGACCCTTGGATGCAACCTTGTGACCCTTGACTGCGTTGATTCTTAAAACATGTGCATTAAAGGGTCTTTTGGATGCCTTGAAGGGTTGCTTCGTGGATGCCTACTAACATCCAGCATCTTTGAGGGACCCTTGGATGCAACCTTGTGACCCTTGAATGCGCTGAATCTCCGAGAAGGTGCATTGAAGGGTCTTTTCGATGCATTGAAGGGTTGCTTCGTGGGTGTCCAACATCCAGCATCTTTGAGGGACCCTTGGATGCAACCTTGTGACCCTTGAATGCGCTGAATCTCCAAAAAGGTACATTGAAATGGTCTTTTACCCTAAACCCTAAACCAGCCTAAACCCTAAACCCCTAAACCCTAAACCTTAAACCCTAAACCCGGAAGCATTGAAGGGTTGCTTCGTGGATGCCCAACATCCAGCCATCTTTGAGGGACCCTTGGATGCAACCTTTTGACCCTTGAACGCGCTGATTCTTAAGAGAGGTGCATTGAAGGGTCTTTTCGATGCATTGAAGGGTTGTATCGTGGGTGCCCAACATCCAGCATCTTTGAGGGACCCTTGGATGCTACCTTGTGACCCTTGAACGCGCTGATTCTCAAAAAAGTTGCATTGAAGGAATTTTATCGTGGGTGCCCAACATCCAGCAGCATCTTTGAGGGACCCTTGGATGCAACCTTTTGACCCTTGAACACGCTGATTCTTAAGAGAGGTGCATTGAAGGGTCTTTTGGATGCATTGAAGGGTTTTATCGTGGGTGCCCAGCCAACATCCAGCAGCATCTTAGTCTTTGAGGGACCCTTGGATGCAACCTTGTGACCCTTGAACGCGCTGATTCTCAAAAAAGTTGCATTGAAGGGTCTTTTCTATGCATTGAAGGGTTGCTTCGTGGGTGCCCAACATCCCACCTAAAAGGACCCTGGATGATGTAATTTCACTGTCACTGCTGATAGGCAACCCAGTCGCTCCCCGTGTTGCCAGGCTGCTTTGGTGCCCACACCGGCGCCAGCCGACGCTCCGACTTTGTGGCCTGAGTTGCTGAGACTGGTTCCTAGTCATAGGTTCCCAGGCTCCCAGGCTCCCAATATTTAAGATTTTAAGGTTGCTGCCAGGCTCCATGGTTGTTCGCCTGGGTTCGCCTCTGCCACCGTCATCTGTCCACCCTTTAAGGGCGGACAGATGACCGTGGCAGAGTCGCTCAGGGAGTCTGGGGACATGGAAACCTTGCCGGTGGCCGTTCCGTGGATGTTCACTGCCGGTGCATGCAACAGAGCAGCAACAGACTTCAGGCCCCAGGCGCCACACGCAGCATCAATCGAACCAGGTGTTTCCACTGGAAACACCTGGTTCGAATTGATGCTGCGGGGAATGCACGGCGTGCACGCGGAACATCAATTGCAGGTCCAGGCTCAACGGCTTGGAAAATTAAGCATGCGCCGTGGAGTCCTCATCGTCATCATCGATCATCAATGTCATCAGGTTCCCAGGCCCGTTCCAGGTTCATGGGCCGCAACATCATCATCACCATCATCATCATCATCAGTCATCTGAGTCATATGCGAGGCTTCCAGGCCCAGAGGGCCCAGAGGATATG